ATCTGGCAGGAGGTGGAGGATACAGTTGGGGATCCTATCTTTCAGCAGGATGGTGCAAGGATACATACTGCAAGAGATACCATGGCTTGGTTTGAGGAAAACAACATACAGGTTATGGAATGGCCAGCCAATTCTCCTGACCTCAATCCTATTGAGCACTGTTGGAAGAGGATGAAGGAAAAGCTACACCAGCACTTTCCCAACATCCACAAGACCAAGGGGGGCCCAGAAACTGTTAGAAAACATCTAGCAGTAGCTCTAAATCAGGTTTGGACTCAGGATATTGAAGGAGATTTTCTGGAAAGGTTGTGGGAGTCTATGCCTAGTCGAGTTGCTGCTGTCATAGATGCAAGGGGATGGTATACCAAGTATTGATTTTTTTGTTTTCTAATTTTACATATAGCTTTTCTTATATTTATTGTATGTCTACACATATTTTCAGTTTATTTCAAGCAGTTGTGGTTGTAGGGGTAGTAAATTTATAGTGGTAGTGGGGTTGCCGTTGCGTTGCCGAACGGTTCTTTTTGTACCCGTACTTTAATACTTCCACTAGACCTTGTGACCTGAGTCACATAATATATAGATATTATCAGCTTCAAAATAAAAAATATTACTAGTTATATTGATTCTATACTAAGCTTGTCTATACCTTATAGAATATCACTAACCTTCCTATAAAAACTTATTCTGTTAATAAAAACCATGAATTTCTTTACCTGCTTTTACTTTGTTCTTCTTCCTTTTAATTCATACTACTATATTTATTCTTCTTGCTTCTGCTGAAATTGTGCCTATTATTTTTCATTTTCTTCTATACTATACACTTTTGTTATACTAAATTACTTTTTCTAGGAGTCAGTACTCTTTTTCCTTATTCTGTACCTATTTTTTGTCCACTAAGCTTTTACTTCAGAAAAGGATTTAATAAGGTTGATAGGGACTTGGACTTACTTGAGAACTATGACATACCTTTTATCAGCATTTGTTTTCGTTTGCTTTCCTTCTACTAGTTGCTTCTCTTACTGCAACCACCTGGTTCTGATTCAGATTAAAGTATGCGGTGTGAGAGGGAGGAGCATTGTGATATTATGATGGATCAACTCCTACTATGCTTTTGTCATCCATAGTTAGTTTCCTTTCAATCTTATATACATCCAATTCTACAGCAAATCGTGACAGTTTGTGTTGAAAACATGAGAATGATTTTATATAGGAGCCATAAGCATTTACATGTGTATGTAAGTGCTTACACATCTTTCATGTCTTTGTTGTGCGTTGCTACCTAAAATTGGTTTTCTCCTATAATATTCTTTTTCTTCTCTTACTCGACTAACTAATACACCTAATTTCTTTTGTTCCTCCCTTGCTGTTTGCTCCACTCTGCATGGTCAACAAACCTACCTATTTCTTTTCTTTCTCTTGACTCCACTCTCTGTACTCAAGGGGAATACTTTTCTCTCTTTGGGCATTTACTTCCTTCGGTTCTGTAAAACCTTCGCCAGTTCGGCGGCAATTTTCAACAGTTTGGACCCCAATATTAACGAGTGACTGCTTGTGATTGCGTTGTTAGCACAAGAAGCTATCCAGCGTTGTTGCCCTTCTTTCCTACTTGTGCTTGGGCACGTTGGGGGGGGGGGGGGGGGGGGGGGTTTATCTTGAGAGTGGGTATAGTGCCACCTCTTGGTGCGTGTGTGGGAAGTGGAGTGGTGAGGAGCGGAGTGTAAGACGCCAGGACCCTAGGAAGTTTGATTTGCCATTCGAGAAGTTTAGGGAGGGATTATGGATTGATCTTTACAATATGGTATAGATATCACGCTGGCCAAAACGGCCTGCAGGTTCCTCCAACAACTTCTTCTGATTAGCGGACTTCTTGGGACGGCCCCCTACACCCAATGAAATAAGGCTGAGGGAATGCTGGCGATAATTGGGTTACCTGTTTGGAATTAACAGAGACCAAGTGAGGTAGTGTCTATGAGCAGGCTTAAGCGGAGGCAGGTATTAATTTTGCACGTATTGCACCAATTACGTGAGTTTTTGTTTTGTTTTTGGGAGTGAAGGATAATGAGAGTTGCGTCCATAGGGTGATTTATTGCAGAGCTATTCACCGGGGGCCTCGCTCTTCTGGTTCGATTGATTGGTCCAGTGGCAAATCCCAGATCCTAAATTATGTTGGGCTCCGTTAGAAGGCTATTCATCGACCCATTCAGCGAATCTTTGAACTATTATACTTACGTTATCATACGAATGGCACTTTGTATTGGCGAACTTGCTACCATACTCGGTCATTAGGAAGGTGGGGTAGATCACGCAAAATGCACTTGCGGCGGTCTACTGCGGCGCGCTGTGTTTCGCTGTAGGGGTATTGTGCTGTACTTGGCGGCGGAAAGGCACCATCTCTGTCACGACGAAACTTGGCATGAGACGAGGTGGTGGGAAGAGCTTTCCGGTCCGCATCAACATCGTAGATAGCTACGCTGTAATGCCTTAAGTTAAGTGATGCGTGAGTTTTCGCCTGGTTCGTTGGTAAAACTCAAGTCTGTGTACTGTGCTTTGGTTGTGCCCTGCCGCCCACCACTGCCTGGCAGTTCCTGGGCGCATAAGTATCGCCTAGTATATCATGATGCTGATATATCTAGGAATTTGTTCCGTGGTTACCCAAAAACCTGTATGTGCCTTCAGTAAGTGTACTCAATTTTGACCTTCATACCAGTTCTGTATTTGTAAAACCGAGAGTTTGGGGACAAGTATCTGATTTGGTGCTTTTTGTTTTTTGGCAAGGAGGAGCAGGTTTAAGAAGTTTATACTGCACCAAGAAAAAATTCTCTCTCGGCGCCTCTTCTGAGTACACTTCTACAAGCGAAACATTAAAATTCCTCTTTCATAGACCGGCCGTTACCCACAATCCAGCGAGGCCAGGATTGGCCCACATGCCGGTAGTCCTGGTCCTCACTCGTTCTTCAGGCTCATATCCTATCTCTAGGACCGCGAGTACTTGTAAATACTGTAGGTAAAAGGATTATAGGCGGTGGTAATGTCCCTCGCTGGGTTCGGGAGTCTGGTTTAAGGGGGATAATTAGTTATATCTTGGAACTCACTCCGCAGAACTTCAATACCGGTAGTAGGAAACAGCGGTCTTGGCCATGGCTAATGGGCAAGTGGACACTTTTACCGCCGGGGGTGGGGATTATCGTGCTCATGTGCGATTGAATAGCAAGAGAGGCGAGTGCAAGTGTTGGTCAGTTTACCCACTTAGAGGTTTGATAGTTGTCTATTTACCCTCAGGTGAGGATGGTAGAAGGTTGGGATGAGAGATCATATGCGGAGTGTTCAAGGAAGCAAGGAGATCACAGATTTAAATGGGGCCATTTCCTTTTGACATTTCTCCCTTCGTACCGAAAAATATATATATAAATGAGGACTTGTTCGGCATTTTCTACTGGGTTCTGTGCTTTCCTTCAGCTTGATAGTTTCATGGCTCGACCCAATAGCCCCAATATGGGTTTCTGTCATCGCCTGCCACTTTCAAAAGCACTCGGAAATCTCGGCACACTTTAGACCTGGTAAACACCAGGACTCCCGTACTTTGAGATGGGCAAGTATATGGTAGCCGCAAGAGCCCTAGCTGTACTGCGGCCCATCTTGCGTTTTGATATGGTGCATTTATCTACCCGGAACTTTGTACTTTCAATTTTGTGGTATCGTAGTGGGATTCCGAAACCACGGTTTATACCGGGTGCTAATGCAAGGTACCAAGGGGTGTTTAAAACTTTTTCATTTTTTTTTCAAACTTTTAGGTTACCCACGATGTATCACTCTCGGGAACTTGCGGAGTGTCTTTAGGTAGGTTCGTCAACAGCTGCATGGTTTGAGATGGAATGACTGATTGGTAACGTGCCTTAAAATATACTGCCATAGAGGGGAACAGCCCGACTTGTATTGCCCGGCTCTTTTCTCTCGGTCGCTTCCTTGTTTCGTTGTCACCCTCACTTCCCCCATCATAAGGGCCGTTCCCTGGCTAAGATTTTCCTCAGGTACCCTTTCTCACACCTTCCTATCTCCTCTTCCCCCTCCCATGTTTCATCTACCACTCCCGCTTTTCTACTTCCGCTATCATACCTTCTAACCATCAATTCCTTTTCTCTAATTATACAATTCCTTCTCACAACAAAAAAAACCAAAAAAAAACAATCCTTATCATGACTACTCAAGGGGACTCGAGCACTGTGGCAAGTTTGTCTGACGACATTACCGCTATGGTGGCCGCCGTTCAGACTACTACTCTGGGTGATAAGTATGTTGTTGGAGAGGGTACTCAGGAGAGCACTCCCCCTCTTCCTGTTGTTGGGCCTCGTGTAGGCAAGTGGGTCGAACGTGAGACAACTAATTACGACACCTACGCTACTCCTGTCCAAGATCCTGAGGGCCCCAGGGGGCTTCCTGTTGGTGAGTGGGGTGCTTCAGGCGCTCGTTATGAATGGAGAGAGGAATACGGTGATGTTGCTCCTGCTGACGAGATGCTCGAACGCATGCTCTTTGGTGAACCTGGAACCGCCGAGCGTGCAGGTGCTGGACTTCAATTTGACAAGTATTGTTTCCTCAAGTCTTCCAGTTATTTGCTAGGTGTTGCTTCTCCGAATGCAACTGTGATATGCTAAAAAAGAAATAGGCTTCTTACTATCTCTGTTTGTGTAGAAGGCCAGGTGAAGATGAATCCGATTGAGAGAGTATGTTTTCCTTCCAATGTGTGGGACGTAAAAGGGGAAGAGATAGATAATTCCTTCTCAATGTTTTGGGCTAACTGTTTCAAGTTCGAAGAAGCACCTCTTCACCCAGTAATGCTGCGGAACGTCAAACTAGCTGGGTATTTTTTCAGAATTTTTGATTTTTGATTTTGACGCTGACTCGTGGGAGATACGAGATCCCAACCCCCATCCAAAGATATTGTATTCCGGCAATTCTCGACGGACATGACCTCTTGTCATGTGCCCAAACTGGTGGGTCGCTACCGCTTGGACTAGGACATACCTCCTTGTTGCAAGGTTGCCATACTTACGGGGACTTCATTTTGTATAGGTTCGGGAAAGACGGCGGCTTTTTTGGTCCCTATCTTATCCAAACTTATGGGGAAGGCTAGTTCGCTTGCTGCACCCCGCCCTGTTCCGGGTTCTACGGGCCCATACGTCGCGCAGCCTCTGGTTCTCGTTGTGGCTCCAACTCGTGAGCTTGCCACGCAGATATTTGACGAATCCCGTCGGTTTTGCTATAGGAGCAAATTGAGGCCTTGCGTCGTCTACGGTGGTGCTGATACTGTCACACAACGTATGGAACTTAGGAAAGGATGTGATGTCATTGTTGGCACACCAGGACGCTTGACTGATTTTATAGAACGGGGAAGGGTCTTGTCACTGAAGCGCTTGAAGCATGTTTCCTTTCCCTTGATCGCAAGATGTTTAAAGCTGTAATTCACTGCTAACGCTATTCATAGGTTTGTTGTGATTGATGAAGCTGATGAAATGTTGGATATGGGGTTCGAGCCTCAGGTTCGCAGACTGCTTCAGTCTTCAGGTAGTTTGCTCTTTATCAGGCGGCTTGGTGTCTGCTAATAGGGGATTAGATGCGAATGAGGACGATGACCAGCAAGTCCTGATGTTCTCCGCCACTTTTCAAAAGGTAATAAACTTAAGTCCTGTGCCCCTGACACTCTTGATGCTAATGTGGAAGGGCATTGATAGCCTATCCGTAAATTGGCTAGAGATTTCTTGTCTGATGATTTCATTCAAATTAAGGTGGGCCGTATCGGTAGCACTCATGAGAATATCACTCAGAGGGTAATCCCTAGCCCGATACTTGTCTTGTTACACTACATTCTAATCAATGGACACGCTGTGTAGGTTCTGTGGGTGGACGAACTAAGAAAAAAGGAGGCTATATATGATCTTCTGTGCACTGCGCCCCCCGCACGCACTCTAATCTTTGTCAATCGCAAACGCGCTGCTGATGATTTAGACGATTACTTGTACAACCGTACGTCTCCTATGTCTCGGGTGGGCTTCGGAAGAGAATCGAGGGTTTAACCTTCTTTATGCAGTCAAGCTTCCGACCACCTCTATCCATGGTGACCGCACCCAGCGAGAGCGTGAGGATGCAATGTAGGCTCTAGAGAGTGCTTCCTCAACATCAATTTGTTGCTGACATGATAATTTTTGCAGGCTCGCGTTTCGCTCAGGAAAATGCCCAATTATGATTGCTACTCCTATTGCGGCTCGTGGGCTAGACATTAGAAACGTGATGCATGTCATCAACTACGACCTGGTCCACAATATTGATGAGTACATCCACCGTATTGGTGGGTTCTGTGTTTCAATATTTGGGTGCAGGGGGATCAAGACTAACTGAAAATAGGACGCACTGCTCGTATCGGCAACCGTGGCCTTGCCACCTCTTTCTTTAATAGTAGCAATGAAGACATCGCCACAGACTTGGTAAAGGTTCTCTTGGAGTCTTCTCAGGAGATTCCCGATTTCCTCGAGCCCTATCGCCCAATTGGGGAGGTAACCTTCGATGAGTCAGACTCGGATGTCGGAGGTAAAGAGAAGGGAAGTGGTATCCATGGTGGCGCTGGATATGGTAACGGTGGAGGGGATTGGGGAAACGGAGGAGCTGGAACCAATGGTGCAGTTGATCTCTCCGGTTGGTAAAGCTTGGTATTCAGTGTCCCATGGAAACGATATTCAAACGCAAGGGAGCCCAGGGGGCTTTGGGGTTAAGCCATTTGTTTTTTAGGGGTGCTATCTCAACTACTGCTAGCTTCGTTTCTTTTCTCATTTTATTTCTTCTGCTTGACAATAGTTGGGCTCGACGATCAATAAACCTGGTTTCCAATCGATTTCATGCTAAATTCTTTATCGTGTTTGGTGCAGGGCTGCGGTGTTAACTAAGTATTCAGGAGCTAGGCTTAGGTCCTCTTTGACACACCACTTTTACGGCATAAAAGTTGTTTTTTGACATATTTTTTTTGGAACTAAGGCCCTGTTTGGCGCGCAATCATATAAAAATATGACATTTTTCATGAAAATAGCATATAAGCCAAAACAAAAAAAATATGGTGCAACCCAGCTAGGATATATACCTAGCTCCATACAACATGTAACATTCAACCCTCTAAGGAAAAAGGGCAAACCCCTCAAAAATCCACCTTGTAAAGATCCTGCATTCAATTTTCCTACCTCTACTATTATTTGGATATCTTTAAATTCAATAGTATAATACCATAGTTTTCTTATAATATTTCAAGTCTGATTTCCTGTTATAAAAACTATACTTGCAGACTGCAATACCTGATTCTCTACTTGAAGAACAAGATCATTATACTTTTCTACAGATAAAATACAGCTATCTCATTCCCATGCAAAGTTACCTTCAGTAAACAAGTCTACACTGTATACTAATACCCAGCTTGACAGGGTGAATCAGGTAACAGAAATTGAATTCCAACTTGCCTAATAGTTGTTCTGACTCTAATTTAAACTTGGGATCTTCAAAGGGTAAGCACAAAAGTTAACCATATTTATAAACCTATACTAAATCTGGTATTTATACAATTCAAACTAGTTGAACTTTAGAGGAAATGAAACTTTATTTTTAAAATATTTAAGACAAAAAACAAGTATAAAAGTAGATATATAAGAAAAGAGATATCAGAGGTATTCCATGATTTTTAAAATCTGTTTTTTAGGATTTTTCACTTCTTTCTTAGAGGATTGAGTATTACATATTATATAGAGCCAGGTACATACTCTAGCTGCAATGCACCATACTATTTTTTTCTTCTAAAATCTTACTACTTGACAGACTCTCATATTACTATTTTAGGACTGAAAAAATTAGTTTTATGACTACCTTTTATCAACTCAAACCATCAGGTCTTTATATTCTAGATACTCTCTTTTCTATTTATAAATTAGTAAAATTAATTTACACTCAATAATTTGTGTCAATTGAAGCGAAATTGATGAATTAATAAAAGGAATTTGTTTCTACAAATTCCTTGAGCCTTTATTCCTATCTAGATATTGAAACTACATATTTAAATATCAATTTTGTGATAATTCCTAAGATAAAAAACAGAAAGAAAAAAGTGAAATTCAAAATTAGATATAAAAAAACTATTTTAATTTGTTTGTCAAGCACCTTCATATTATTATAGATATACAAAGAAAAAAATAATATTTAAATGAGAACAGTATTCTTTTTCTTGTGTGACCTAAACTTTTTATTTTAGAGTCTGTTTGTTGATATCCAGAAGTATTGTAATATTTTTATTTTGCAATATAAATATGATAGATCAAGTAAAATATTCTAACCATGATTTTGTAGTTATGGCCAATAGCTAGAAAGAAATTAGTATAAGACTAGATACTTCAAGTTAGGAGTATGATTTTGGTTAGTAACAATTGACATTTTTCTTGATCAATATTTCTTTATAAACTAAATACATATTAATAATTAAACTAAAGATAGAGGAGGCCGATTAAAATTGGAATGAGAGTGGTTCAGATTTAGATTCAGCTGTGTCAAATACTAACTCATTGCCCTCAATCATCTTTAGTAGTATCATAGCAGTATCATAGTATATCGTGGGTTCGGGTGATAAAAATGAAGAGTTGGATATATACCGAGGGCGGGGTGTTTTTCTCCGCTGGAAAGTTCTTTCTGGCTTGGGGCACCAGGACCACAGGAGTTTTGTAGTTACGGTGAGGGTTATCCATTCCTGATGACTGGCCATGCTGGAGTGATGGCACTACTACAGCCCCGGGGCGTCTGCGACCTTTAGTAATGCCTAGGCAGAGGAGGCACCAACCTCCTAGGGCCTCCCTACCCCTTGAGATGCGGATAACCCAAGCGCCGTTTCCGCAAGGAGCACGACAGCTCCATAAGCATATCTGTCGCCGCCATTGCCTCGCTCCTCTCTTTCCCCGTGCTTCAAACCCCAGCACTGCTATATTTTGCCCTTTTCCCCTTCCCTCTGAAGCCGCAACAGAAACGCTGCTGAAAATCCCCAAGATTAGTCATAGGAAATCATGTGGGATGAGAATGCGCATATCTATCGCATATCATACCCGTCCAAGACTCCATCTAGGCTTTCTCATGTTGCCTGGTCAGTATTTGCCAGTTTCTGTTCATAATCTAGGGTTTTGCATACCCTAGACCCTACTTGTGTCGTACTAAGCCAATACGGCTCGGAATTTCCGTCACGTTTACTCTTTTTGTTGCTCTTTTCTGTTTATAAATCCCCGCGGTGAATTTGATTTTCATCTTTCCTCTTTTCCCCTTTCCTCCATAGGGGATGCAAAAGGCGATAGGAGAGCTATCGGTCAACTGAAGTATGGTGATGATTGGTTTCGACTCCCCCTATGCACATGGTTTGATGAAGATCATGGTTACGTCTCATTGCCCCCTAGGTGTGAGTTTGAAGGTAAGGTTGGAAGGCTGTCTGCTCTTTTATGTCCCACCGATGAGGGAAATTGATACGGTAGGGGGGGTCTTTTGGGAGTGAAACTAACGCCCATTGGTTCCCTACTTAACCTTTGTAAGGGTGCCCATAGATCTGTGCGGTATCGGCTTACAAATGAGTCAGGTTGGAAATTCCATACTCCCCGAGCCTCCTGTTGCCAACACTGTAGGCGTGGGCGGGGTATTGTTGGCACAAATTTGAGGGAGATACAGTCGCCCCTGGCTATAGTAAACGCAAAAAACTATGCTCACTATAGATATTAGCCAACAGCAAGGCCGCAAGACAGCTCATGCACCAATCACAGTCTTTCCTTTCAGCCCCCGTTCACTACAGCGAGGTTCACTATAGCCAGGGGCGACTGTAGATTGGTCCATTCTGAAGTATCCCAGATGTTACACAATAAGGCAGTATTTTTAAACAATAGCCCGACGGAAGAGAGGTGGTAACGGAGGCGAGGATAGTACTGTACAGTGCCCAACTGAACCGGGTGCCAGTACTATTATAGTTCTGGCTCGTTGGTCGATAAATTCCATTCACCATGTCAACGAAACCCCCAATTAGTGTGAATTGCCTAAAAGTTGCCGGGGAGTCCCAAGTTCCTAGAGTTTCTTTTTTCTAAGAATGTTTGCGCGGCAGAGTGCACAGAGGCCCCTACAGAAATTTTTGGTCCGAAGAATCGGATTTACTCCGGAATCCCAAGTTCAGCAGTTTTGCCAATTTAATTAAACTAGAGCTCTGAAGATAGAATTAGGGGATAGGACCCCGCGGTCTTTTTCCCCCACGACCATTGGGAAATCTACATTACAACACCAGTACAGTACTTGAAGAGGGGGCCCATAATTCTCTATGCCCCGCAAACATTACCGGCGGCATCGCCTAGCAATGCATGAGATGATTACCCGTATATATAGCACTTGCGGTCAGCTTCCAAAGCTTACCAGTATTCTAGTATTTTGGCCCTGGAGACCCAGCTCTTCCCCAAGCTGGTAGGGGACTTCGCTTAACTAGACCGCAAAGGTCAACTCATCCTATAGCTCTGGGGTTTCATTGCCCATCGGATGGAACAAGGGGGAAATCTATTTGGGGAATGACGATAATAGTGGCTTGGACACCAGGATATTCAATGATAATTGACTTTTCCCAACCAATTATAGTGATAATGCCGCTAGTTTGTATTAACAATTCCGTAGAAAATAGTAGTATAGTTACAATTACATTCCAAGAAGTGCCTCCAGGTACCAGGGTGACCTATTACTTCAGGAGGTGAACTCAAACTGAACTTTCATAAGCGATATTTTCTTCGCGCAGTGAACAAAAGCCGCTTTTGTTGCCAAGTTAACCGTGATCGTAGCCACTCCGGTAATTAATAAGCAATCTCTCCACAACAGGCCCCGCTTTTCTTTAGCCCAGGAAATCCAGTACGGTACGGTAGTCGACTGACTCCATCCTACGAGCAAGCAGCAAGAAACAGAAATGTCCCAATCATTCACCAATAACATCAACTCCCCGGACACAATTAATATTGACTCCCTTTGTGCCAAAATCGGTCACGAGGGAGTGATGAAAATGCCACTCGGGAGGGATGTCAACCCCGACAAACCAGATAACTATGGCCGAACACCACTCTGGTGGGCTGCTCGTAATGGGCACGAGGAAGTGGTGAAAATACTACTCGGACAGGACGACGTCAACCCCGACGAGCCAGATAATGACGGCCGAACACCACTCTGGTGTGTTGCTAGGAACGGACACGAGGGAGTGGTGAAAATACTACTTGGAAGGGGCGATGTCAGCCCTGACAAGCCAGATAGCGGCGGCCAGACGCCACTTTTCTCTGCTGCCTGGTACCGGCACGAGGGAGTTGTGAAAATACTGCTTGGACGGGACGACGTTAACCCCAACACACAGGAAGCGGGCGGCAATACACCACCCTTGCTGGCGGCCTCATATGGGGAACGTGGGAGTCTTGAGAATACTGCTCGGGCGAGGCGACATCAGGCCCAACAAACCAGATGCTAACGGCAGAACACCACTCTGGCACGCAGCATCCGATGGCGGGGAGGGAGTGGTAGAAATACTCCTCGAACGGGCTGATATCAACCCCGATAAACCGGATGGCGATGGCCGAACA